GTCTTAAATTCCACTTCATTAACTAACATTTCCTCTCATATACTGTGTCATTGCAAGTTTAAAGAGGAGCAGAATGCTAATTAACTAGCAACATAAAGGCTGCCCACAAAGAGGACTGGCTGAGAAAAGATCTATAACAAGCCGATGCACAGTGGGACACAGGGCCCTCTCTGTCCCTTCCCTTTATCCAGCTGTGGTAATGGGCTTCTTCACAGCGGGATGCACAAGTACTCCTGCCATTAAAACCAATGTGCATGTCCAACAAAAGTACAGTCCAACTCAACCTGTGGATGTAATTGTGAAAATTCATAGCATTAATATTGTGCCTGTACAGAAGCTGCAGGCATATTCTGCAACTGCTTCAAGAATAACAGGACAGACAGGTGACTCTCAAGGAGCTGGACCCATCTTTTAAAATCTTTTTTTTTTTTTTTTTTTTTTTTACACATTGATTTTCTGCATCTACAGCAGGTTATAATGTGAAAAGAGCTATTGGGGTCAAAATCAGACAACCTGTATCTTATTATAAACTGTTTTCTTTTTTTTATTATTGATTGTAAACCCGAAGTAAAGGGCTAGTTATTGACAATACCGTAGTGGCTTAAATATGCAGTGTGTTGTGTTTCTGATGGAGGGTCCATCACCAGCTTCTCTCCATGGAAATGTTGCCTGGAATGTTCCACAGTATGGCATTATCCCTACACAAACAGCAGATGATGCCAAGTTACATGTCAAATCTGTTGAGAGGTGAGACAACCCACAGTAAGAATGCAAGTTACTGAGTAAATGCAAGATGGATATTTTAATGCCATACTGGGACATTTCAGACAAAGCAACTCTGTATATATTTTTTTAAGATAATAAAAACTAGCCAGACTGGTGCCACCTAGTGCCTCCGCTCAATTTAATTTCTTTCCAGCGACTAGGTCAGAAATTAGAATACACTAGATGGTTCGCAAAAACCCCAGATGTGCAAGTCCAGGCACCAGCCACTCAGTGAAGAGCCATACATTGTGTGTTGGCAACGATTCCCAAGATCGAGGATTTAAAGCCGGAAGAAAGAGAATGTTCTTTTATCAAGGGGAAAGATGTTATTGCCCTTCTTCCCACGGAATTTGGGAAAAGCTGAATATACCAGTTAGCCCCATTTGCAGTGCATTACATACGTCATGACCACATAAGCGATTTGGTTAAATGAAAAAAAAGCACCCACCTACCATTGAGTGAATTCTAACACTGCAAGGTCGGACAGTTTCTACAAAGTGAAACTGGCTGATGAATCAGGCTAACTAAAAACGGGGAAACACCACCGTTAATAACATACAAAACTTGAAGTATGTCTTAGAAAATAAATCACTTAGTAACTAGAAATCATTATAAAGAACAATGGAAAACGTGCAGGATACCATAATCAAATCACTGTAAGTAGTATGGGTCAAACTGTACATTTACTTCTTTGTATGGATACTGACAGCTCCTGCTCTTGTTGCCAGTAGAAAATCTATACATGCATATTAATTTCCCATTCTGAAATAATCTGACTAGAGTAAGCAATATGTATCCATTAGTAACTTAAACACAAACTGCCTTCCCTGCTAGCTGTTTGATTATAATTAAAAGGAGGAATCCCTGGGGAAAAACAGAAATTCTAATGTCTGTAGTGCGCCAGCATGTAAGCCAGTGACACAGGAAGAGAGGCAGAGGCAATGACAAATTATAAACACATGTAATTTAAATGAGGGCGTTTAGGAGTGCAGGGATAACTGCGGGGAAGACAAATAAAAACAATCCTTCATGCGCACAGACACAATATTACAAATACTCAAGGCCAGTTCTGCTGCTACTGTATACTAATCATTTTGATAAAGGGCTAAACACGGAATTCTTGAAATTTTCACAACGCTTACACAAAATAGTAGTTTTCATGATCAGCTATGCAGAATTACTACTACTATAAAACAATATCAGGTTAAAATAAAATAGAGATAAAAATCAAATCACAACATTAAATACAATCTAAATCCAGACTATAGATCAGGGGTGTCAAACTCAAATTCACAGAGGGCCAAAATTAAAAACTGAAAACCTTTTTGCCACCTGGTCCTGAGTTTGACATGTCTGCTATAGATGGTTGTCAAAAAAAAAAAAAAAAAAAAAAAAAAAAGAAACAGCAACAACAATAGATTCAAATTGATCTTAACTGATACTAATAGAAACTAATGAGTACTCAAAACTAAATGCTCATTTGAAGTATGAGTAAGAGTTACTATAAACAACAAGGTAATATTTAAATCCCATTATTATTTTGTGGTGAAAATTACATGTTTTGTTTAGTTTTTATCATTGCATCATTGGTATCAAAATTAGTATTGAGTTTTCCTTTGTATCAAAATCAAATCAAAATAAACGGGCCGATAAAACTAGCTAACTAAACTAACTAACTAATGTTTAAGGTCTAGTCAGTCATCCCTGATAACCATGTGGTCGCCAATGTCAACAGCCTCTCTGAAAACCAATCATAAAGGTGGGTGAATAAGCTGTTACATTTGAACCTCTAATCATACCACTGGAGCCAAAATCGCAAAGCAAAATCCCACCACATGCCAATAGAGCTTGTTCTCTCTCCACTGTTTGAGCTCTTTGACAAAACATAAACAAAAGTCGACAGTTTCTGAGTCAGATGAAATGCACGATTTGACCTCTGGAGAAACAACCTCCCCTTCATCTGCTGCGTTTGCACTTCCAGTTTCAACTTTGACAATCAGATTCACCTCTGGGTAAGAAATTACTGCACAATCCTCAAGTGACTCAGAGGAGAAGAGCTGATCGTCAATAATTCAGAGAAAAAGCATAAAATGGAGGACGGATTTGGAATGTCAAGTACTCAATTTCCAAACGGGCTGTGCAGAAATTAAAGTATGCAAAACATGTGATTTGAATGTAGCTGGACTGCACCATGCGTCCACTCATATATTTATGTGTATTTGTTCTCTTGTTCAAACATGCGTCTTCAAAGTCTGAGAAAGGCGGATGGAAATAAACTGTGGAGTGGTTTATTATGTATTCTGTTTACACATTTAGGATCCCAGCGTGGATTGCTTTGAACAGAATACAAGACAAAAAGAATTATTTGCCTTCAGCCTCTTCTGCCATAATTCCAACTCCAGTCTTGGCTGAGGAGGCAGGGTTTTTCGCAGTTCATAGAAAGTCATGGTTGTGATCTTGTGCTGCAGGGAACATGCTCTCCCATTCTCTCTGATATGCAAAGCTAATGTGTGAATTTGGAGAAAAAAATGTTTGCTATCCTCCATCTATCCCTGGATCAGTGGGGATGTTGCTTACAGGCTTTTGTTGGTTTTCCAAATGTATAATAATAATACGCAGAGGAAGAAATTGAGACTATATTCCTTATATTTCTGAGGTTTTAATGCTTACAAATGGACACTGAGTAGAATAAAGTACAGTATTTTCTGCACTATTAGGAGCTCTGGATTATAAGGCGCACTGTCATAGAATGGTCTATTTTTGAACTTTTTCACGAATAAACCACACCGGACTTTAAACGAAACACAAGTTCGATGGGTCAGTCGGAATTTGTTTGGCGCATTCACGGTGACTCTTGGCTTTGTTCGGTTGTGGCGTGTAGGGAGGGTGCTGTCTGGGACCGCTGGATTGTTGGCGTGTTCACAGTGACTCAGTTGTTCAGTTGTGTCTAGAAGTGGCACATTGCACTCACTTTTTCGGTTTGTTCAACCATTCCGTTCCTCGTCCGTGTCGAGGGATGAGTGTGTCTGCGGGTGTTTTTCGTTGCGCGGTCGCTATCTGCTCCGTGCATGTTTGCGTGCGCTGCAGGTGATGCGGCTTTGTAGTTTACTGAAGTCGTGCTGGGACACCCAAGTGGATTCGTGTATAGGGTGCTCTGGATTGTCATTTTTTGATGGGGTTGGGGGCTTAAGAGCGCGCCCAATAGCCCGGAAAATACGTTAAGTGTAAATCTCACAATAAAGGAGGTAGAGGTGCGCTAGATAATTATCAAGCACAGATAATTAATTATGATACTAATTTATCCTAACTACGCATGAATTAGCCTTCGACTTACTCTGTAATGAGCAGTTTAATAAGACATTATAAAGGGGTTCAGCTTTGATCACTAAGAGTCGTTATGCTTTATTTTAATAGCGTATGCATTTTAAAGCGTTACTGTTACCTTAAGTTACTTGGTCCCTCACCATGGCAGCTATTCATTAGTCAGTCTGCATCTCCAAATAGCAACTAAGTTATGACAAGTACAAATGCAATAAAAGTACATTTCCTCTCTTAATGGAATATGCAGATCTCTCAAAGGATGAATGCTGATATTTGTGGCTTGATGCACTGGCAAACGGAAAAAGAGCTTTATTGCGGCCTGTTACTTTTGTTGAGTTGTAAATCATTTGTAATTTCATTTCCAAATATATCAAACTTTGGAGAGCACCACTATATAACAATGTGGTCACAAAGTTTTAATATAAGGTCACGACTGATACAGAAAGAATGAAGAAAACTGCTGGACTTGACTGTCTCTAAACTAACATGGCTGAACCAGGTCTAAACAGAAACCAAAGAATTCTGTGTGTACCTGATTTTTAGTGTCTTAAAATTATACTGCATTATGATTATTCACAGCGATGAGTATGTAAGCACTTTTAAGAGTTTTCCGCTGGGTACCACAATTTGAGAAGCACTGTCTTTTCCACGGATGTCAAGTTGATGGAGTTTGGATAAAAAAGCCACAAACTTCACACATTTCCTATAGACTGTGTCAGCTTTTACAGAGTACACTATAGCGCCGGGCTGACTGCTGTGACAAATGGCTTGCTTCTTGCTACCACTGACCCAAGACCTCTGGATCCACTTCTGTATGTGCATCTATTTGACCATATTGTCAGAGTGCACTGCATCCAGAACTTGTTTGTCACTGAATTTATTAATAAAATACATCTGCTACAACCACAGCTTACCATTGACAGTCAGTGAAACCTCCTTCTCGCCTGCTCCGACTCTTGGGACCACAGCACGGCATACATATTTCCCAGCATCCTCTTGTCTCACAGACTTCAATGTCAGGAGGTTCTCGTTGCTCAAAACCTACAGCAAAAAACAGTCTGAGCTCATCAAAGGGAATGAGAGTAAAGTCACCTCTGCATTTGCGATAACAACACAGCGGCTCCCAGGCACGAGCAGAGGTAGCACCATTTAATAACTTAAAGGGCACCTCTTCTCAATTATTAAAATCCAATTTGGGGTTGAGCTCAGAAGTGAAAAGAGGGTTGGCTTTGGCCTTTGGTTCTGACAAAAGTAGTGTGGGAATGGTGTGGATTTGAAGATCAAAATAACAGAAGCAGGTCGCGATGAGGTATATATATCACTGTGTTATATGCCGAGTCAATGACTTTTGATATTTTAGAGCATTAAATTTATTTCAGGAGTTCAATTTAAAGTGAAATATTTTGTTGATTCGGTATATTAAGTAAGGTTATATAGAATTTGGTTAGTGTGAGTGGTTCATGGATTATAAAGCAAAAATTTCAGTAAAAGAAACTCACCACCCCTGAGCCTCTCTTCATCCACACAATGGTGAGCGAGGGGTTTCCGGTCCACGCACAGTTGAACACAGCGTCGGAGCCCAGGTCCACCTGTAACGACTGAGGCTCAGCAGCCATGCGTGGCCCAACTGTTGGAATAAACATCATTAACACTCCATGATTCATTGATAATTAAGCTCCCACTGAGCAGGCAGCGCCACTTACGAGCCAGACACAAAATATAAAAGACAGCTAATCCATAATCATTTGCAGTCATGCTGCTGGCATAACTCAAAGTATGCAAAAGAGAGATGAGCTCGCCCACTCACAGTAGACGTCCACATTACGACTGATGTTGGTGTGGCCCAGTGCGTTGGTTACTTCGCAGGAGACCGGTTCAGTAAAGAAGGAATGGTCCACAATAACTTCATATGTGTCTCCAGAAACCTCTTTAATTATACTGCCGCCTTTGGCCCACCTGGAGAGCACATTAGACATTACGACAGGTTCTCAGCGCCTTTGTGTCAATAGTCTTCTTTTATGTGAATAAATCATCATTCTGGGGCAGGTATGGAGGTGCTGGCTTCAGCATATTTTGGTGGCAGCCCTCCACGCTGTGACAAGCTCCCTGGCAACTCCAGAGGCAGACAGCGCCTTGCTCATTACGGCGAGCGAGTGGTGAGTGCAGCTCTTGAGTGCCAGGCAAGAACAAACCAAACAAATCACGCTATGACAAATGAGCGGCTCTCTCACCTTTTGAAGCAGCAGCCTGACATGCTCTGTAATATACCCAACACCTGACGTTCACAAATGACATGGGACGCTGTAAGAACACCTGTTTGTGTTTTGTGACTGATGGATCCAGCATAACGACACAATGCTACCATTCCCCACATTATTTTTTTTTTTTGTCCTATTTTGATGATGTCACAGCACTCTGCATGTGTGGATAGATCTCCACAGCTGTAACAGACAAGGCCCATTTATAAAACTAAAGGCACTGGCTTCCCTGCGTGTCTATTTGGAGCATTCTGACAGCTATGGGACATCCAATACATCATACATCTAAACACTGCCATCCTGGCATTGAAAAAAGATGTTGCAGCAAGACGCAATTGAAAAATGACAGTAAAAGGCGAGACTGTCTCAATTTTTACTTTTGCAAGACATTTTCTGCAGGTTCAAAGTGAGCAATAGTTTTTCATGACTAACCAGGACCCCTACTTGACAAAAATAAAACCTTTCAAATGAATTAACTTCATCATTAAGCACTGTTCTAATTGGGATTCATAGAGGTTATTTCGGCTTGTGTCTTAGCTAAAGCTTGCATTCCCAATTTGTGTGCGACAGCAAGGGAAATGTAGAGGCACAGAGAAACACCTGTGTTTCCTGAAATATTCAAATTGGGGCAGACTGCTGTTTATGGCCCGTCTGACCTTTACACAAGTGACTCTGGAGCAGGAGTAGGAGTTGTAAAATGTCTGGGTGGTAGTGCAAAGGAACAAGACTCACTTTGCTGGAATAGCCTGAGGAAAGATGTCTGCACTTTCCATCTGCACAGTTTGGTAACACTATCACTATACTGTATTTAGAGAGCAAAATTGTGTGACAGAACTTAATTAGAAATTTAATTTATTTAAGAATAGAGCCAGATGGATTATTATGATTGGCCTGGCTACAACTTGTCTGGACACAAATATCTTTTGTTCAAAGTGTTTTAATTTTGCCACATACTGAAAACAGTACATGTTATTTTAGTGTAGTACAACTATTGCTATAGTTCAGCTCAAATGAACAACTCCACCAAAAGCCTAGAGCTCTTTGTCTTGTTCTTTGTGCTAATGATACTTGACTTGGAGATCAAATATATTATAGATTTATTATAATGCTATTCACAACCTACACAACTGTCCACTTTGAGTTACTTAGGCCTGAAGACTCACTCAGACGATGATAGACCACCATATGCGATTGCAACAAGACATTAAAATTGCTGCCTCCGATGTCTCTATAATGAAGGTTGTGCACAGTACACATGTTAGTATGAAACACTTCCCGCCCACACCGGGGTCTATCTCCTGCTGTAAAAGGTGTAATATGATAAGCGCAGATGCTAGGAGGCGGGTGGAGGTTAAAGCTAGTGGGTTTGGAGGAACCTGACAGTATTACGAGAGAGGAGCATAGATAGAATAAGGTGGTCCATTGGGAGAATCTGGCTCTTCGCTGCTTTGGGCTTGGGTCTTGTCCAACACTCATGTCTAAACATAACCGACCAGAGGTAACAAAAACACCTGCATACCCAATGGGAGGTCAGGAAGGCAGCGGTGAGCTTAGTCAATAGCTGATTCACTTTGCACCATTGTCTGCAATCCAGGGACTTGATTCGACCGATGGGTGCGAATGTTCAGGTATAAGCGTAAGTCTATGTGTGTCTGAGAGGAGTTAAACGGATAAACAGGCCGGTAATGGAAGCAGCAGTTGAAGGAGAGTGAGAAGACTGGGGTGTGTTGAGGGTTGGAGGGGGGAGCTTTGTATGCGCTGAATGTGATTAAGCCAATAAAAAGAGTGACAATTAAATTAGGCAGGTATCGGTGCCATCAGCATCCAGGCCCACAGTAAATCAGGCCCTACAGTTATTATCAGCATGGTTAAGCACAGCAAAGTCTGTTCCATTCGCACTTACAAGATTATTAGATGTGATGTGAGAAGTCATTAGTGGAATATATATACTACCATAATGAGCAGGTTCAAGGATGACATATTGAAAATCGGGAATCAAGAAAATGTAGACTGACAAGTGTTAAGCAACGTTTTGCAATATTTTCAACTGTGTGATCAATCCAAGGACATTTTGACATCCATTTGCATTGGGCTGTTGGCAGGCACTGGTAAATCTGTGGTGTAAATAAAAGAGCATTTTTCATATTTTTAACCAGGCATATGATTTTAAAAATATCTAAGCACAGACTGTCAAATAAGTAGTAACTATTCATTGTGCCATTGTGTCATTTTTTACTACTATTATTATTTATATTTTAACATTGCATTTCTACTTCTTTTTTGTATTTGTATTTTTCTATTGTATATTTTAGCTTTGGATAAGAAGGTGCAAAAACAGGGTGTTTAGAGGTTGTATCAAATTAATTAGATTTTCTTTCTGAATAAATAAATAAATAAATAACAGCCTGACTATAATAGCGACAGTACAAAAATAATAGTCTCCCTTTTGCTAGTATTTTATCAGTGAAAAAGAAAAACATAAATGCAGTATTTAACAACGTAATGTACCAATATAAGGTAGAAATGTACACATATACAGAAGACATTTTCACAGATCTAAGTAAATTGCCAAAACAAGAGCGGCCCACACAGCATCATTACCTACAGACGCATTTCAAAGGAAATCTACCCAACAGTTTGAGCCTGAGACCAAAACAAACAACTGGATCAAACAATAGTGAGAATAGTGCAGGAGGATTGGGTTATTTGTGGCAATGCCATAAGGAGCTGGTTCTGTTGTCGCCTGGTGGCTCCACGCGTAGACGAGGGACCTGATTGGCTTTGTTTATCTTTTTCCCCAAACTCTTTCTCTGTTTGTCTCTCTTTTTTCTTTATCTCTCTCTCTCCCTCTCTCTCTCCCATGCCCCTCTCTTTCTCTCTGGTAGTGTCTAGTTTGGATCAGCAAAATCCCTCTGTCTCTCGATCAGAGGCAGCCTGAGTGATGTTTGCCTGTTTTCCAGTTCTCCGCCATCACAAAGCACCCCACTTATCTGTTCTTGTGGCGTTTTTGATTCAGAGCGCAAACAAATGGCCATTACTACTCTTCATTCACTTTTAGCACCTCTTTTATGTGCTCTTCAAAAGTCTCAGCACAACTTTATTCTATACTTTGAACTAGCTATCCCTGTATCTCCAAAAATATATATCTTTCTTTCCAACTGGCACATTTTTAAGATCGTATTGAAGTTGAGAGACCAATCTGAAGCCTAGAGCAATACAGGCCTTTTTTACTAGTGCCCTGGCGTGTGTATCTGGAGTGTCCATTGAATTGGGTGGCTTGGAGTGGAGCAGAGCATGCTGGGAATAGATGACTCTCTTGGGGATAGAAAAAGAGTCCATCTGTCTAAGACTTACTCTGTCCTTGTGCCATATCTGATCTGGGGTAGACACTGAGTATTAGCACTGAATAATGGCCGCACACAGCGCCTGACCAGCTTCCTGCTCTCTGCTGTGATATTACTCTCTGGAGGGGGGGGGGGGATGAGTACCGGGCTTCTTCCCTAGTGGAAAACCTCTCTCCAAAGCTCTGAACTCCAATGGTCCATGGGAGCACTGGGGCTCTTGTGTAAATTGCAGATAAATCTTAACATGGCCTATAAAACGTAATAATGGGTAGCGAGGGTAACCTTGGAATATCAAAAGTTATTAGACTGTCGGCAGAATATTTAAACCTATCCTTGACAACTAGCAGGGAACTGGTGATTTTCCAAGTCTAGGATGTAATAATGTCATACTCACAGAATGGGTTTTCCTACTTGCTACGCTGTATTCCACTATGAGATATCCAAACGGTACGTTCATAGACTTTGAACCTGATCATTTCCACTTAATGACCAGACTCTAGAACTCTCTCTCTCTCTCTCTCTCTATCTATATATATATATATATATATATGTATATATATATATATATATATATATATATATATATATATATATATATATATATATATATAACAGAGGTCTGTGTTTAAACAATATCCATTTTAGCTGTTCCCATCTGTATTAAATATTATTGGCTTACAGAAAGCTTTGAGGTCATCTGAAACCCTGCAATAGAAGCGAAAGGAAGGGAACAAATATATTACGCCGCAGGTAAAGTGGCAGTTCTACCCTCTCTTAGCTCCCATTTGGACAACCTTATTTCATTCTGCACTCTGTCAAAGTAACCGAAAAAGTCATCTCGAAGTGCCATTGCGTCTTAGCTCCTTGAAACCCCAGGGAGGGAGTCTGATTGTAGCATTGATCCAGTCTCATAACAATAGAGGTGAAATCCCCTCCGCCACAGACGTCCTGTCTGCGCCGCGCACCCACACAATCAAATACAAACCTTGTTTTCCACAATATCAGCGCTCACCCTCCTCCTCTTTCTCCTCTTTCAAAAGGGCAGAATCCATCAGAAAAGGCTACATCTCTGTTTGGCCACCAGCGAGTCTGTACTACATCCATTTCATTTCCCAGTGCTGAAGGAATCGGAGCCACCCAATCCCATTTCTTATTGATTTCACACCATTTAATTTTTCACTTGTCGTTTCCATAAAAGTCTCACATAAAAACACTTCAGCCGACACTTGAGGTGACTGTACTTTGAAATTATCTTGTGGTGATTTTTATCTTGAGGTTCGTCTCGCATCACACAATTATATTGTTTCAAACAGTACTAGACAGACAGTTTGTTATCTATTTTTGAAGCCTTCTGCCTATAAGTTCTGTACTGTAAACACACAATGTAATTAAATCTTAATAAGCTTTAAAGATTTCACACTGAGAAAATAGCATATACATGATCTACAATGCATTCTAACCATGTTTTCAAGTGACTGGCCACACATGAACATTTCTGCAAATTAAGGTAATGTATTGTACAGTATAGAATGCACCAATGATTAACTTTGACATAGAATTTTTTGTGAGTTTTTTTTTTTTTTTTTTTAGTGCACTTTGTTCTTACCTGTATTGTGTGACAGGGGGGTTGGCCTTGGCTGAGCAGTGAAATCTCACCAGGTTGCCTTCCAACACAGGCTGTGGCTCCACTGAGAGGTTGACAAGAGGAAGATCTGAAAAGAGAGGATAGAGTTATGGTTGTGGCAGCCTCCTCGCACACAAACACTTACTACTGGTTTGTTTGTGCAGCTGAATGCCAAAGCAAATACACAAAAAGTCACCTCTCTGAAGTAAATAACTGTGAAATTGCATAGACTTTGTGCTTTATGTTATTTCATTTGACAACTTATGTTAATATATTATGTTCACTGTAGTGTAAGCAAATATTAAAAAGCCAGGTGCTGCCACATGCAAGCAGGCGCAGTGAAAAGTTATGACATCTCCTCACAGTTACCGCACAGTTTCCCACGAAATAATCTGTAATTACAAGAATAATTAGCGAATCCTTTTTTAATCTTTAATTCGTCAAGCAGCTGGGGTCTATCGCAGTATCACAACAGTTTGTAGCATTTTGTCCCATTCTCACAGGTGTAGTACAATGCATGCTATTTTGATCTTAGTTGATTAATTCCTGCTATTAGAGGATGAAAATCAAAGCTAAACCTGACTGAATAATTAGAGTTTGTAAATAGCAATTTGCAGGAAGTGGATTGTGGAATCTGCTATTAAAACAATGCAAAACCTCCGTGGTACAATTAAGTCGGATCTCAGAATAAGAAGCATGTGTATTATGCAAATTGAATAAACAACTTAATTTATCCTAATTGACAAAGGTGGGATTCTTTTTGAAGATACATGTTCATTTCCATATTAATCCTGTCCCATGTGAGACAAAAAGCTATTTACATGGCAGACTCTGAATTTCTAGTAGGTTAAGCACTTTCAGGTTTCTAAATAAGCTCAGGATGTTGCAGCGAGGACTTGAAAGCGGAAAAACATGACAATTTCGAGCAGGTGTAGTCAAAATGTTTACAAGGGGTTTAGCATTTTCTATGAGACACACTGCAAAATATTGGTCAAGACATCCCAGTCACTTTAGTTGTTGTTTTCATGTTTGATTTCTCTGCTCACCCACACGTTTGATGCCATCTGTTTGAAAGGTGTGCTAACTTTCTGAGTCGTGCTCAAATTTACAAATGTGGAAAGTTGGTAAAAACGATCACATCTTCAATACACTGTGAAACATTTAAGTGTCTGTGTGCTTTACAACAAATTCACTTAATGGTGCGCTATGTCAATTTTCTGAGGAAGGGTCGCCATCTGTTTGTCTCCATGGAGATGCATGGAGTGTTATATACTATATTTAACTATATTTAACAAGGCCAAGTTACAGGTCAGGTTGGCGACAAATTACAGTAAAAAATGCATGTACTGGATTTTTGAGGAATAAATTAGGAAGAGTTTATTTGCAAAAACAGCTAAGTGCCATTTGAAAAAAAAAAAAAAAAAAAAAAAAAAGACACCAGAAGCTTATAGTTTACTCTTAGTATAGTAATATTTTCAAAAGTCAAATTTATTTTAGTGTTATGAAAATATAATTCCATCCCTTCTTGATAAAATCCACTACACATTATTGTCATCACTATAGCTCTAGAGGATGAAAAAAAACAAAAAAAGAACAATTTTCAAAACTGAGATATCTGTTTTTGCTTTTGGGCTTTTAAAATACACTTCACATTCAATTAAATATATAAGTTTAATGCCATGCTGTGGTTCCATCCAAGAATCTCCAGGCAGATAAGCAGGTGGTGGACCCCTCATCAGAAAAGTTGCATCTTTAAGTAGTTCTTAGACTCACATTGGGAGCAGCTCGGGCAACTAAAGTCTTATCAGTGCAGTGTTGAGCCTCAAGCATGCTACATCCTGGAACTGGGCCAGTTAACGGCAAAACATTAAGATAAACAGACAGACAAGCCCAAAATAATCCACCAATGACAATAACAGTAATGGTACAGTAATAGTATTGAATGTTGGGTTACTCTAATAGTTCATGTTCATTGTATTTGGTGGAATTTGGGGCAGTTTTTTAGTTAATTCTGAGTCTGATTTGGTTCTAGAGCACCCTGAGCTTGTTTATAGTTGTAAATAGCCTGACTGTGGTGTGTGGGCATGAGGAGTGGGGAAAGTGCTTTTTATCGTGTTGCAGTGCAGATGCTCAGGGCTGGCTCAGCTGCCACAGAGCCCCAGAGAGGGAGGGTGGTCCAGGTGGCATATCCTTCCACACACACTCACATGAACACACACACACAGACACACACACATGCCCACATCAGTACCCTTTCTCCCCCAGGACCCCCCCCCACCCCCTCCCCCCTCCCCCCACCACACACCATCCATCCACTCAGGGCTGCTCTGTTCAACCTGTACCTGTTATCCCTGACTGGGCTTGCAAGAAAACAACAACAAGGGATGATCTGGTGTCTCTGAGCTGCTAACAACCCAGACACAACAATGCCATTAATCAAGTAATAAAAACGCACCTTATTGTAAAACTTTCTGTGAGGTTACAGTTAGAGCTATTGTCTAGTTTATTACTCATGTTTGTGAGTGAATATATACATTTATATTCAATCACCCCTAATTAACTAATGCTACATGTATTTATTAAATTTATGTATTTATTTTGGGTAAGAAGTAAGTAAGAAATTTACATTCTTTTACAACAGAGCATATAACATTAATGAAATCATAGCAGAAATAAAAATTAAGGACTTATAGGCTTTGACTTACTTAAAAACTTATTTAATCCCACCCGTCTCTTCTAATCGAACACAAGCTTTCTTTGAATTTTTCAGACATTTTACATTAAACTATATGAACTATTTACAACTGCAGACAAAGAGTCACTGTTATAGATTGGTAACATAACTGGATACCAACAATGGTAAGGAAAATTAAAGATACCAACAATGGTAATGAACAGCACATACTTGCAATAGTAAGGAAACAACAAACATAAACCAGTGCTACAATTGCTATAAAAAATTTGGGCTTTGTAATATTGACATTTGAGGATATGTATTCATGACCTAAACAGAACCACGTGGTCCTAAAATGAATAACTTTGGATCAGCTTTAAAGTAAATTTGACATGTTTTTCTGTATTTCTAATTATGACTTTGTTTGTTGGGAAAGCACCTGTGGTAAATAATGTATCACAATTTTAAGTTACGTGGTGGTTTGTTTGAATAAAAGTTGAGAAGAAAAATATAAAAAAACAGTTTATTGTTAGAGTTTTCTGACTGATTAAACATTGATTTAACAAAATTAAAGTGTTTGGCATCTATTTTTATTTGTCTGATTACATCTATTGTGTAATGTAGACAAGTTTTGGCCCTTGTTAACATTATGGTTGCTAGGTAACAGTTATGGAATCACCTCTACGTGTCTCATCTGCTGCCCGTGTCCAACCAGGGAGTTACATTATAAAATGAGACAATACTTGGCAACATTTGTATTAAATTCTTGAATATAATGATGTTAATGTATTTGTCATATGCTCTTCACATGAGTACATTATTATTTTTTTATTATATTACTCTTTTTTGGTGGTAAAAACACATGACAGCCTTCTAACTTTGACCGTGATTCAAATCTGATTACACCTTGGCATGACTGAAGCTAAAACTAAAGCAAGTGTTCGCAGGTATTGTGAAGCCTTGTTCTCCTTTGTGTTTACCACATAGATTCTTCAGCGTGGATATGAAAGGCCATGTGGGCGTGTGTCATAATAAAACGGGAAACCTCTCTGTGCCTCAAGCAGCAGGGCTACCTTTCCACTAGGTGTTTTTAGTATCACTGGTAGTTAATTGCACAGACAAAATGGTGGGCTGAGAAAACCTTTGGGGCAAAATGACAGATGTGGCAGTGGTGGAGGTGGTAATAAAATAGCGCGAGAAGCCGGGGAGCCGAGCAACAGACATAAAAAGTGAGAGAGAGGTGCGGAGGTGGCGTGACTGCTAATAGAAGCCATAATGTAGGGACTAATTCACACTGCTTTTAGACTCAGAAAAAAAGCCCTATACTGTATTTTCAATCACGACAAGCAATCTTCAAGTCCCACCTCGTGGAGACTTTAAAAGACAAAAATGCTCATTACTGTCAACCTCCTTGTAATTAATGCGCTTTTAAAATTGATTGAGGCACGCTAACTGACCCTCCCACTAAAATGCGCCTGCCCCACTCTGCGAGCTTGCGAGAGTTATGATGACTTTACAACCTGTTTTATATTAGAGGAAGCAATTTGCCGGATAGTTCCACCTCCCTGTAAAAATCACCAGCGGAAGACAGTCATGGGAGTGGAGCTTGTCAAAAGTTTCACCGCTAATGTCCACAGTGGGAATTAGGGCTATGTCATCCTTGTAAACTCTGATCCTCACATGCTGACAAGAATCAAGTTTATAAAGTAGTCATCAGCGTAATGAAATGCATTAGTTGAGGCGTTAAAATATAAATATGGAAGACATTAGCAAAAAGATTCTAGTGCTTAGCTTGCAAATTAGACTTGTGATTTATGTACAAAAAGTAGGATTGTGATCAGAGTTCTAGTTTCAGATACAGCCAGGAGAAATGACTGAAATATGAACTGCTGCACAAGAATCTCATGCATTCTACAGTGTGTTTGCAGAGGTCCAGAGTTAGTATTTTATGTCTAAATAACAGGATATTTTGTTGTTTACAGTGCACATAACCTGAATGATTGCCGTCTTTGTGATTTGATATTGCACATACTTAGATTTCTAAATACTGTGCAGCCGTACAAGATGTCTCTCCTTCAGAAATAAAAGATATAATACAACTCTGGTAGAAAAGCACATGATGAATTGGAGATACAGTTATTTGACAGCTTTTGATTGGCCGGTTCAAAGTGGAGACCAGATGGTAGTTTTGAAATAGGCCTTCAGTTTCTTTCCTTTCCAGTATAAATGGTTTTCTCTGTTTCCTAAAGCTCATTTGACCATTTCTTCAGGTCAAGGTGGGCAGCTGTTCTCCAGTAGGCCTAGAATGGAGGCTGCGCGGGAGGGACTGGGCTGATGCTTAGCGGGCCAAAGCCCCAGCAGCATGGGCTCACTATCTTATGGTTGGGTGAGTATGTTACTGGAGGGGAGTGAAGACTGACTGACGTGTTGATCGCGCAGTATTCAACCATGCGAGGAAAAACTCTCTAGTTAAATGAACGCAGATGTTTAGCTATTTGCTCAGACTAAATGAATAACTTGATTTGTGTTAAATGTGGATATAACTCAAACTGTAGGTATCGAATACATTACAATTCTATGAAGATACATTCTTCCAAAAATACTAAATAATTCAACAAAATTAAAAATCCTGTCTCTCAAATGAATTTGCTATTACGTGCTTGATTAAGTGAGAAGAGCTTGTTGGTGAAGCATCTCCCAAAAACAAATCCATCCCAATTGCACATCTGCATCTTCTTTATTAATTAGTCTCAACAAATGGCATTCATTTTCTCCCCACATGCTCGGCTTGTTTGCTATGCTAACACACGAGAGCCCTGTCCCTGGTGCATTCACTTCCCCCTTTTACTGCTGAAATCATGTTTGTGGAGCAATGCACATGTGCTGGAATATTAATATATTTCATATGTAAATCCCTGTTGTGTTGAATGTGGCCTGTACAAACTAAAACTAGAGAATACATAGCAAAATGTGTGGATTGTTCTCTAAATCAAATCTGTAACTTAGACCGGGGTATTTCATTTCATATGGAGTATTAACTGCTAACTATGTTACCTTTATTGTTTTGAAAATGCCATATTCTCTGAAAACTATGTATTAACATGCTTATAAGTTTTGCTTTCGTTTTTTATGCTCTAAGTCTCCCCTCCCTTTGCTCTCCACCTCTCCTCTTCTCAGTTGTTGTTGCATTGTTTTGTTTTATGCTTTTGTATATCTATGGAGATTTATCGTGGGAGCATGGATGCCATAGGCTTGGGGGCTGAGCCTTGCACAGAATCTTACAGGTAGCTATAAGGAGGGTTTAAATAGAGCCCGGGAGAGATAGCTAAAATCCTCAAACATGCACAGATGACATCTCAAACTTCTTCAGGCATGTTTTGATGATAGAACAACCTTAAACATAGTAAAAAGCAGTAAGAGAAACAAAAATCATTTATGTGACTGGTTTATCTGTATTTTATGTTTGTGGTTGTCTGCTAACAAACTAAGTCAGATTAGAAGTCTAGAGCATAACATTGTAAGTTATGGGGCCATATAAGAGAGAGAAGAGGACACTAGGACGCTGCTTCTCTTCTGCTATCAAATAATTAAAGTGGGCTAATGGACTGGTTTGGACAACTGAAGTCAGCAGTCTGTCCGCTCCCACAATCACCCCGTAGCTGTTAAAGCCCTCTTATTCTGCCTACATTGCCTCAACATATTGTATTTAGATGCTAATTTGTCTAACCCTGGGTCAGATAACACTATATGGAATGAAAAGCGCTGAGCTTGATGTAAATTGTGACCACTGAAGGAATGATAAAAAGAAAAATAGTGTCATAAAATGCATTGGATTTGAGTTCTAATTTGACTCTGCTGCGTACATTGGCTGTTTGCATAGGGATTACTCTCGTGTGGGTTGTTAGGTGAATCGAATACTAAATAATGAGAGGCGAAACACACAGACGATTTTAATTAGTTTTGTTCCCATTAATATTATCTTGTTAATAGGGTCATTCTAGTCAGAGAAGAGAAAATAAATTACTTTAAATGTATTTTTTACACAGAAAAGGGAACTAGGCAATTGTCGTTCATTGTCATTTTATTGTAATTTCTATTCAAACGCACAATGCTATAAAAAAAAAATACAGTTGTATACAATCATTGGTAGCCCTGTTGAAGCATAATGATAATTTAAAACTTATATATAAAGAGGTTGGAAAATGCAAACCTCTTCACACTATAGGCTTTAATAAAAGGTAATAACTAATGCTCCTTGCTTTAAAAGTATAAAATATAGCCAGCAATCAGTGAACCTCACTCGTGATTTGGCCTAGTCTATTCTAGTATAGTGCTCCATATGCAGCCCTCTTCCTATGTGCAAATATTGTGCTGAATATGTCAAAAAGACTAAGTTCTAAGTTCGTTCTATTTAGAAGTCTCTGCAGAAAAGTTGGTTTGAATAATTCACCAAAGTTTGTTATTGCAAAACATTCACTGTATATTTTACTCAATCAGACAGATTTATTTACTCAAAACAGTTTCCTTTTGTTGAGCAAATTGCTACAGTAGAGTTATGATATAGAGTCTCATTCTGATCCATACTTTAAATTCCTATTATTTTTTTTTTGTTTTTTTTTTTACTGTAGAAGACTGGGAAAACCCCTCATATTTTTGGATATCTTTCAACTCATTTAAAAGTTAAAAGTTTACTTGTGCAATTTCTTTCTTTTTTTTTTTTTTTTTTTTTCTGTGTCCGCCACTAAAATCTGCAATGGAATGGAACTATGTGTGTTTATGACTTTACCTGTCAGTATTCATAAAACTGGGGCAGATACATAACAGTCTATCTCCAGCAATAACCAAAGTTCTAACATGAAACAAGTGAACCTCTCCATAGAATCAGATGACAGAACATTTGAAAATTAAAAGATGACATGGATGAGTCAAAGTTGTATTTCTGCCTGTTATATTCGTGTGATGTCTAATTTGGCTGTGGTTGTCAGCCCCAGCTCTGAAGGCTCTGCCAGACTTACCTCCCTGTCCCGCTGAGGGGATCGAGGCTTTCATGTGAGGGGAGGGGCCATGAGCAGATCAGCCTTGTGGGAGACAGTTTAAATCTTGACAATTAGTCAGTGCTGTCGCCCGGTGAGATCTCACACTGTGACAAATGACTCCGGCAGCTTTAATTGTGTAAAAGGCACATTTTTGGGGATGCTAATTAGAAATATGCTGCTCTCATTTTTCAGGGTTAAATCATGTGTCCAGGAGCCAGACGCTGATATGATGATCAGACGTTTCTAAAGCTCTGTACAAAAATACTTAAATTGGCTGTACCCGCTTTTTTTTTATGTTATAAAGTCAATTCTGTTTTATCCCAGTACAGATATATTTTAAAAGCAGCTGTAGGGTCAAAGTAAGACAGATGTATCCAGTCTGTATCTAATAATGAAGTACTTTACTGGTTCAATTGCTAACATTTTCCTGGTGGCAAAAACACTTTTAAGAATTATTCTGTAATGGGTTTGTTTTTACTAAACCTTTGGTACAACATAACCATCCACAATGGACACATAAAATGTAAACAAATCATCAAAATCGCATCTGAAAATGTTTCAGACTTTTAAAAATCACAATTTGAAACTTGGTAAAAGTAAAATGAAAAAGTAGTTTAAATGAATGGATGTGTGCCCTATGTTTCACCCAAAGTGTTTGAGAAGAACACACTCATCAATATAGAGAGGGACTAATGAGTTTACATGTGGGCCGACTGGCTCGCTGACAGCGGGTGAAGACAGATGATGAGGACAAAATGCAAAGGTTGCAAACACTAACAACTGTTAATCACATTGCAACTCCTGTGTCTGTATGAGCCCAACAGCGCCGTGCCCACTCTCCAAAGCAAAGCGCTGCCTCTTGTGGTGAACATAATGAAAAGAATGTAGTCGTCACTCATAATGGCTCTCTAAATAGCATTTTCTGCTTTATTAGTCATAGTTAATGATGTTGAAGGGGCTGCGAGTGATGCAAAACCCTTTTGTGCAAAGCCTTTCTCTCACAGTGAACGCTCTGTGATCAAAAAAAGATTCCTTCACAATTGAGCTTGAATATGTTTTACACGCTGGGCTAACTTTGCCTATTTTAGAGGGGGAATTGTACATGCCCCACAGAAGAGATTGATGGCACAAGTCTGGGAATAAAACATAGCGACTGGATGCCACTTTAGACAGACAGCTGGACCAGAAAGGCAGTCTCACTTATTGAAGATTCTCTGCTCCAATGCAAAACCCAATAGAAAAATGTCAACACAGTATCTGCACCTGGAGAATGAAGGGGCAAAATAGCTCCAATTATAAATTCCCATCAGACCTTAAATCTTTCTGTGTTGTCAGACAATTTCCTGGACTGCATTTTCAAAGATGAAGAGGAAAGCTGTCAATTTGTTGCAAATAATAATTTCTTAGAACTTCGAACATCTATACAATTGATACCTACTTTCTTGGTTTTGCATGTCAGTTTCAATCATAGACTGAATACATAAATGAACATAACTAACCCGCTAATCTCTGCGTTCCAAATAGAAGGAGAGCATGGGAGTGCTTCCGGCTCCATCAGCCTGAAAAATTGTCACTCCTCTCTCTGTAACGGCTGCTGTGAGCCTCATAATGTTGGTCTTAAAATGTTTGTATTAAACCACTCTACATGATCCTGTTAGTTTTATTTCGCTATTTTGTCCGTAAATAACTTCCTATTCCTAATATGAAACTTGACTCTAAATTCACCCCTATAATTACTAGCCTTGTAAGTACTGGGTGACGTCACAATCCTTTAGTCTGGTACAACATACCACATACAGTCTGGTTTCAACATATTACTGCCTCGATCAGCAGGAAGTAAGGATTACATCTCTCGAGGTATTTTGTAAATTGACATTGCATGGACTCAGAATCATACTTCTGTAAGTTGTTATCACTTACAAAGCATGCGTATAAAGCATGCTTATACACTAAAAACTAAAAAGTAGTATAAGATGATAGAAGGTGTCTTACGCTGGATGTCGATGGTGACACTGGTCTCCTTGCCGTTGGGCACTGCCTTGTTGGAGGCCTTACAGATGATCTGCTGCCCAGTCTCGATGTTTGTTGGGGATAAGTACAGCGTGCTCACTGTGCTCTCTTTTCTGCCGTCTCTGAGTAACGTCTGAAAAACAAAGGAATCGTATAAGTCTTGTGTCTTTGTTCATGTTGGATAGGCATGCATTCATTAAGAGCAGTTGAACATGCTGCACAATCCTGTTAACTTTCTCTATGGACAATAAAACACATACAGTCAAATGATGTTAAATGAAATAGTAACTATATAAAAAGCCATATATAGATCTATATCTGTAAAGGAAGATAAATATGAATAGGAAACACATCACAGATTCTACTGAGAAGAACTGTAGAAAAGAATTCTTGACAAAACTATCGCATAATCAATATTGACAAGTGAATATCTAAAGTAACACAATTGTTGTGGTTCAAAACAACTCCAAACTAATCCGAAGAAAGGAAAGAGATGGAACAAAGTCTATTGGATAAGCTTTGAAGGTGGTGTAAAGTAGTAAAAAGACAGGAAATTCATGAATATAAACATGTTGTCCCCTGCGGCCAGTGCCAGTGGCGAAGCACGGCAGATTGATTAAAAAAAGAGAAGAAATATGTTTTTGAGCTCCCTTTTGTATGTCTGCCGAGGCGCGCTCCAGTGCATGGCTTGTCATACAGCACAAAGGAAATCAATCTTCTTTTCAGCGTTCATCCTCTGAGCCCTACATTGTGGAAGCCATCTGGAATCCGCTGGTACAGTGTGGAGGGAGCCGTGGTGGGGTGCTCTGGGAGGGCTGGCCGCTCCATGTGAACCAGAGCGGGACAGAACTTAAGGCAGCCACTAGAACAAATAGTGTGGGCAACAGGGCACACTGCGTCCAGCAACAGAGTCAGAGCACGTTTCCAGGGAACATCTTTAAACAAGGCTCACTGGGCTCTGGGCTCTGATATGGGATGTAACGGTAGGATTTTGGCGTCATGGTTTTGGTAATTGTGAAATGCACTTTAATAATTCTAAGGGATATTTAACTATAAAGAGATTTAAACTGTTTCGAGTTGCTAATGTTTCAGATCAGATCTAGTTCAGATTTATTTTTATTTTTTTAAATCTGCACTATAACTTATGGCAGGGATGGGCCTACTGATTTGCCTAGAAAGTTCCACAGTATACCATTTAACTTATCTATCTTGCATTAATTCCTAAAACATACCATGAAAATATGCATCGCCTGGAGCTGTCACCTGCTTGTCTTCATGGTTATATTGTATATATACTGTGTAAGATTCCAGTCAAAGCACTTTTTTTTTTGTATTAACACTGAAAAAGAAATAATAATAATAGTCTTAGATCAAGAGTTGAACTTGTATTGTTTCGAAAAGGTTACTGTTCTTATACTGTAAGAGCAGGACTCCCATCGAGAGGGTAGAGCCATTAAAATGTTTAACTTTTCAGATCAATACAAAGGTTCTGCAGGTGAAATAACTAACTCATATATGGAAACAATGATGGCTAAAATATATAGCTTGAGAATATGAATTGTATATAAAAAGCTCCACAATAACAGACCATTAATTACTGGATACCTCAGACATGGGCTCATTGTCAGTGTTCTAAGTGGTGCTAATTATCTCCTCATTTTGCTACATTAATGCATGCTATACTTATAAGTTATGTGCCTTCTCACAAAACCCATCTTTAAGTGTGCAGTTAACGACTGCATACTTAAAATTTCCAAATACATCACCTATTGACACTTTAAGTAAAGTTCGGATACATACCGGGTAGTGTAACCATAAGTATGCCATTAGTGTTTTTTGGATCATTATACGCTCTTTTCAGGTATAGTCAAGTAATAGCAATTTTCATGCCCTTTTAACTCTTTGTAAAAGACTAATGCTTCAGTTTCTTAAATTTTTGCACACACTTTCAAAGCTTCCCAACAGGATTACCTCATACTGTAATGGTACTTGAGAGACTTCTTGAGATCAAGTTCTGATTTGGTTTGAGGGTGAGATTTGTTTAGCGTCTTTGTGGCTAAACCTCTTTGTCAAAACCCGATCTCATCTCGGAAGCAGGGCTGGGCATGGTTGAATCTTGGATGGGAGAAAGGAATATCTGTGAATGTGTGAGTGATTGATTGGTGGTCGGAGGAACTTCACTTCTGTCAGTTTACCCCAGGGCAGCTGTGGCTACAGTACTACAGTAGCTTACCACCACTGAGTATGGAGTGAATGAATAATGTTTGGAATTAAAGAGACTTTGAGTGCCTGGGAAAGTGCTATATAAGAATTTAAAAACTAATGCATTATTCTAAGGCAATACTCATGGTTCAAACCTGTCATTAAATTCCGATATAGTTTCTATCTTCCTCTCGTTTTTTTGTTGTTTCCATTTTCTCAAAAGTAACCCAGCAATGTTTGTGTTTATCCTTCAAAAAAAAAAAATAATAATAAAATAAAAAAATGCAAATCTAGAGATAACTTGATTAAAGTCCGAAAACTTGCTGAACTTTTCTTTCATATTTCAACTGTATCACTTGAATATTGAAGTTTGATTTTATTGCATGTTCATTCCCCCATATCTCCTGAACACGATTGAATAAAAAAGCACATATAATGAAACCTAAACAAATAGATCCTCTCTCCTGCACTGTGACGGTATTACAGATGCTGGCCGTGTTTCTGTGAACTTCATTTCCATGTGATGAAATTCATAGTTGTGCATGAGTCACTTCTAAAGCAGGAGGCATTAGCTGTCAGAGGCGGGATGTGTCAATGTAATATCTCTTCTGACACAATCAGGATTGTTTCCCTCGTCGCTCCGGACCTGTCTCGAGTCATTAATCTTAGAAAAGAGGTTAGCTGCCTGGCACATTACATTCAACACCATGCTACATTACAAATTGATACATTTTCCTATCCTCGCCTGGAGCTTGTGAGGAGATTTAACCACGCTCTGAGATGAATGTTAACGGTAACGAGGCTGAGATGGAAATGATCACCTTTTTACAGCATTTAAAAACGCATTTGTCTGATTCTAGCTGCTGTGAAAAAAGAAGGAAGTCTAATTGTGCAGGTTTGGCCTTCACTGTCTGTATGAGTCAGGCATGTCTGAGAGAAATTACAAAACTAAATTATATATTTGGCTTTTCTATGGTAAAAAAATTAAAATAAATAAATAAATATTATGTTAACACAATAAGATGAGCTACTCTGCATGCAAACAAAATACAGTAAATTCCAGTCTATTAGTACTAATATTAGCACCACCTACATTCTAACCACTTTACCCTGAACAATGTTTTTCAGGCAATTAAATGGAGCATTCTATTTAAAGATCAAGGTGTTTTCAGTGTTTTTATATAAATAATTGAGCCTAATGGTTCTTGAGATCTTTTAAGTAGAGCACTTGTCATGTCCACTTAGGAAGCAAAATTGTGTTATTATTCCTGAGTTTGTTTGATTAACATGCTATGTTTTTAGTAATTGCACTCATCATCCATTAAGAGACGGGAGCAATACAAAAGAGAACCAATTGAGGAAATCTTTCTTCCAAGAGGCACTGAGCGGCCGACAATAATATCTTTTTTCAGGCTGAATATTGATATCAAATTTTTCAGCAGAAAAGATTTCTCTCTGCAATGGCACCCTTACCTGAAATTAAATAGCACTGGTATTTCAAAATGGGGATTGTAGCAATAAAATGAAAAATGTCTTAAAAAAAAAAGAGCACTCTATGTTTTTATTGGGGCTAAAAGAGGTGTCGATTACATTTACTTGTGTAAAAACCTCTGAATAATTTGTATTTAAAGGGGCACTGTGTAACATTTCTGATGCTGGGTCCCCTACCATGGAGATATTATTGCTTTGCCTGAAATGTTACACAGTACTTAACTTAGCTTGGCATCACCTGATTGTCAGCATGGAGAAAAATAAGTTTAATGCCATACTGCGCAACATTCTGGGCATCTCCATGGAGACAAGCGGTGGTGAAAAAGATAACTATATATTTGTTTAGAACATACTTTTTAGTTTCACATCATTTTTAACAATGGATTCAATTTCTTTTTAGCTATAAACTATAAATGTATTCATGTACTAAAATGAAAAAGCTGCATATTTTTTACGATGTTTCTTATGTTTTTAGTGCGTAGCTGACACAAGAACAATTTGCTATGTGCTAAGTCTGAGTGTAAGTATAACATTAGACGTTAATATACCCTTTTAGCCTTCTTCTGCATTCTGTGTTGATATTCCCCCATTACCATTTACACTGACAGGCCTGCTGCTCTTCATTTTGTGGGTCACTCCGTTCGTGACACATTTTCTTTAACGCTACCCTCACTAATGATAAGCAATGCATCAGGCCTACCATCATTTTCTATGGTAAAATAACCGCGAGATGTTAAGTGCGAGACTTCCTCTTTAGCCACTCGTACCGTAAATAGCTTTTTGAGAGGTCACGCAGAGGAGTTTTTGAAGAGCACAGTAAAGAGTGATGCTTGGGTCACCAGTATTAGTCGATGCGTTTGACACCATCTAAATCCTCACAGGCACATCTGCTCACATTAGTCCCTTCTTCCTCTGTGGGATATGAGAGGCCCATCAGAGCGGATGATTACGCTGAAAAAATGTACCCCTGCTGCTCCTCGCACCCCAAAAACTCATCTTCTTTTAATCAAGGCCATTGCTTTTTAATGGCAGGCAATAGAGATAAGAGGGTAGAGGGACATACTTGGGCTCGGCGCGGACATGCAAAGATCCATCAGCACGTAAATGTCCTCATATCGGGAGGAAGTGCAAGTCAAAAATGCACTCTCCACACGCCATTAGCACGTAGGACCTCCAGCCATCATTTTTATTCAAATCGGAGCCTAGCTGGTGCCGAAACCCCCATCCCAATCAATGGCATTTATCTGGTGTGCGAGAAAAGCCGATAATGGGATGAGGCAGCTTGGGGAACGCAGGGAGACGCAGGAGGTGTTAGTGGGATCGCCAAAGTGCTGGGTCTCCCGATGTCGTAGGTTTTAATGGAAATGGAACATGACAGTGTTTGATTGCACGATTAGCCCTCGGGGTGGGTGTCAGTCACAGGGTCAGGTGATCAAGGGCTGCTAATGATTAGGTTCTGTGACATAGGAAGACGTAGTGTCATTTGTAATTATATGTATTTGATTAGAAGTGAGGATACATCTGAAAAGGAAACAAGATATTTGAGATTGCATATTGATCCAGTGCGTCAGAAGGAATCCAGAAAATAGATAACAAATTAAAGAACTTAACAAGCTCACTCCTCTGGATGTGGAGGAGCAGCTACATCATATGATATCAGTGGGATTTCCTCTGATTGATTCATAGAAATTATATTGTTGATGACCTGACCCGCTAAGCAGTCAAACCTTTGGGGACCCCTGCAATTTCAGGCACACCATCTACCCCCAGGTTGTAGTTCAGGAACCACGAAGACACCTTGCAGAGAAAATTCTATTCCAGTACTTGTATCTGGGATCTTGTCATGACCAGAGATGGGAGCAGGAACTTAGACTGACAGTTAAATCAAGAACTTTCCCTTTAGGCTTAGCTCCATTCTCACCCATTCAGTCCATTCCAACACTTTCAACACTTCGATACAATGTTTGCATATATAGTAGTGGAAAACCATTGTGAAGTAAAGTGAAGTAAGTTAAAATTAAAGTTTGAGTTAAAAAAGATGACTTTATGAGCTTTCCCACAATAAATCATATGATGGAAAATCTTTATCAATGAATGTGTACTCACATTTCAGCACAGTACTGTCAAATCATGCCGTGAACCTGTTTCCATATGAAGGATCCATGCAGACAGGCAGACATGCAGTCCCCTCCCTGCAAGGGCCCCCTCGGTCTACAAACCTGGAGCGACACACACCTCTATGCTTACCTTGGAGTACATGGCCCCGTTAAGGACCTCTCCATTACGGATCCAGATGATGGAGGCGGCTGGTTTGGCGTTGTCAGCGTGACAGGTCAAATTCAGAGGGTCACCAGCTCTGAGGCTGACCACCGGACCACCGCTGATCACAGGGTCATCAGGTGGAACTAAAGAGACAGAGAAACCACATAGAGTGATTAGTAAGTCTGGTAGTTACTTAAAAAAAAAACAAAAAAAACATAAAAATACAACAAATATAAGTCAACATAAGACATATGTAAAACTTGACTTAAATACCAATGAAAAAGCTCAGTATGCCAAACCGATTCAGTGGGAAATGTATCATAATTTTCAAGGCAAATAATGGCCTGGAATTGCATAAGTTCTTATATCAACTCTGATGTGTTCAAATGCCCTGTTTATGTGATGATCTAGTTTCAGTGCTAGCTTTCGTATCAATTAGTATCTGAGTACTGATGTGTTTGGCAACTCTATAGTACATGCATAGTTACTGCTGCTCAGCTGAATGACATTTGAATATAAGAAACCGACTAAGCTTCGCATAAACTATTCCTGTATTTGTGCATTTACAGATGGAGCCTCCTTTCTTTACATAACCTTTGCTCAGAACACATTGACTTTTGTTCTCTCCTCTAGAGTTGCCAGCAGAAGTAAGCAGCCCGACACGCCTGTAAAGCAACTGATCAAAGTCTTCTTCTGTCTTACATGAGGGCCGATGTATGTGCTTTTTTCTTCTTTCCCTTTTATATCTGTAACTGCGGTGAATTATTGATTGACCTGCGTGCTCATTACAATGCAGATCTGGGGCAGATGAAAATCAAAGGCTTCATGCAGCTGCCATATTGCTCTGCATAAGTAAGATGGGGAGTTTGAGGTTGTTAGGGGTTGAGGGAATGCAATTTTGTACAGTGCATTTTGCATTTATTGACATCATGCAGCAGTATGTGTTTTACTGTAATTTACCATAAGTGGTCATAGTGGTTTTTGCCTGGTATTTGCATCTTGTCTTTTCAAGTGAATCACGGCTGGTAGCATGTCAAATGACTAACCCTGTTTGTTTGTCGTTGTTTATCCAGTTTTTGAAGGACATACTGTACAGTCCCGGTCACACGTTTACAATGAGCCACTATGAATCAGGGTGTGGGTGTAGCAAATCTGTAACAGACTGGATTAGCCCAATGGTGTTAACAACTTTACGTCAACACTTTCTTACAAGAATATCCACAACTTTGACTAAAGCAACTGAGAGGTGTTCTTGTCAAATCAGTTTTACCTATGATTACAGAAACAAAGAGCAATGTTTATTTATTTATTTTTTTTTAGTCTGCAATTACTACAATAGACTGTTTTTATAAAATAATCTGAAATGAATGAAATGGGTTTAATCCAGGGCTGAAGGAAACTACTTCTAAATATCAAACTTTGTATGTCTTTTTTTTAGTATTATTATTTTTTAATCCTGACAAGCCCTTTCACTCATCCATAATATTGTAGTAGTAACATAATAATTATAAATATGCCACCGTATTTTGTACATCCCTTCACTCTGGATTGTTATGATGGGTCGCTGTGACAGAGATTGCCAAGGGCCACTATCATTGATTTACTGTCTGCATAATGTACATGGCTGGAGCAGTAATTAAATGCCATAGGAGGTGCGAAGTTAACAAGTTGGGTTGTCACTATCAGTCAAGGCAGTTTGTCAATTGGAGTTCATAACTGACACTTTGAGGTTGTTTTGTCCATAGTAATCAGCTTACAGGGTTATATCACTGGAGCTGAACCTAGGCCTGTCACGATAACACATTCTGAAGTAAATATTGATGAATAATAAGTGAGTAAGTAAATACCATAAATATGATGAATGATAATACTGAAATTAAACTAACCCTAAAGCAGGGTTATGCCCCAAAATCTACAATATTGTTAAAAAAAACAACAACATTGCAATAAATAGCAGAATGAAACTTTAATACTTAGTTTCCATCTGTAATGAGTAATAGAAGTTTTTACAGTTCCAATCTTATTATATAGCCAAATAAATGACCAACAATGTCCCAGTTGTACAAAGAAAACACACATACGACTGAACCCCAAAATATAACTTTCCAGCTTTTATATACTGAAGTCCATACAATAATTATCGTGACAGGCCAAGTTTAAACTAACCTTATTTGAAATACACGGAATAAAACATTTTAGTTTCACGGGGCAAGGGTAACAACTGTGGGTATACCCATTTGGAGTGCTTCATACATCACTAAGTCGCCCCCTTGACCTATACCACTTTCAAATGTCTACTTTTACCCTTTCAGCCTTGGGTTTCCTGTGCAAGCATCGCAAGAGGAATTTCTGATTTACAGTGAGAGTGAGAGTACACACGAGCAAGGGTCAGTGGCAGACCTCTCAGGGCAGCTGTACAATCTCTGGTCGTGTCCCAGTGGAGGGCTATCTGACTACCTGGTATCAGATGGAGCGATGGCTGACAACGGAGAAGACATGCTTGCTCAAAGGGGTCACTGAATATGAGATCTTAATCTATGTGTCGTGTGGTTTTTGTGGGTTTTGATTGTCCGTGCAAAATGGTTAGCACTTAGGAGCTATCCATGTGTGCTATTTAATCATCTGAAATCAATTTACTTCTAAAACGTAATAAGCAATAATTGTAAATAATAATAATAATTTAGATTAAACGTCCTATATTACACAAAATTGATTCTTCTGCGCTTTAAGCCATGTTATAATGTTGTTACTTCATCATAACCAGAATTGTGTTTTGTTTTATTCACATTTTGCGTAATCGTGGATTATGAGTCTAGCTCCAAAGTTCAAAATGATCGGTTCCACCTTGCAATGTCATGTAGTGGTAGTTTTCAAGTTCATGGCTTTCTTTTACCCTTTGTTCAGTAAATATAGGCAATTCCATGGCTGAAATCATCCCAGTAATTTTAATGAAGGTGTATGGAGTTAAAAATTACAGTGAAACACTTTCTATATTAGCTCATTTCTGTTCGAGAGAAGAACACAGCCTAAATACACAGGGTTTGTGTGGTTATAACATTATAACATTATAGATCAGAAAATCACATAAAATGTACCCTTTAACCCCTTGGTTGTGTTTGCACAGGGATTTAAGGATCATAGGTTAAATTTCTACCTCCCACATGTGCACACTGTAACTGTATCCATGGGCAAGACACTTGCTTAACCCACATCGCCTTCTGTGTACACAGTGTGGGTGAGTGAGAAGTACACAATGGTTGAGTAGTAAGTGCTTTAAGCCCCCAGTGGAGGTTGAAAGGTGTTTTATAAATTGAAACCATTTACCATTAGAACATTTGTCAAACGCAATTCCAACATATCGACATTCAGGACAAACGTGGCTATTCATTCACTTTATTGTTGTTAAAAGCTGTTATTACCTTTGCTCCAACATCAAAGAACCTAGCAATGGACCTGATGTAATTTTTTAGAAATAAATGTCCTTTTTGTCAAAAAGATATTATGCACTTTCCCAGTACTTGGATTTGACACTTTCTACTTTTTCTCCTCTTTGAGCAGCACCAGGTATAACTCTTTTACAGAGGCCCTGAACTTGAATTAGCCATCATCATTACTGGGCTGTTTGCAAACTCGGCAGTCCCTAATGGTTCTAAATTAGCTCTTTACTGCAGCCATCCAATGGACTTGGCATACGCAGTGTGGTCAGTAGTCCAGATTGATCGCTCCTCTTTAATTACAGGGCTGACTCATTGCTAGAACTGATCTACAGGCCATTTTTGTCAGAGATTTAATAATGTAATCTCGTTCAATATTTTTAGTCTCATATTAATGTCCAGGGCTAGGTATTCTTGGCATGTAAATCCCATTCATCTATTTCTTTTATGTTTAGTGCTTCTTGCTTTTTGTAATTATCCAGTCACATTTCATGTTTACTGTCCTCCATCATGAATTTGCTTTACTCCTAAATGGCCAGTGCTAAACCAATTCTACCTTGCAAAACAATATGTGATGCCAGAAAGCCTAGACTTCACTGAGATCATTCACTTTTACAACATAATCAAAGATTTCTATAAACAAAACCAAGGCATATTGATGGGTAATTAAGTCGGCTGTGCAAGAGACGCCATAAGTCTGTCAGCTCCAGGAGTGGCTGACTTAACTCAGTAGCTCATAAAACTGCCTTTTGTCTCAAGATATTTCTTCCAAACAAAAGCCCGTCACGAGACAATTCAAACACAAAACATGCACTTATTAGGCATATACCATCAAAAACATAATGGTTTTGAGGGTCATGTGATCTGCTGTCCCATTTGGGTAAATTGGTGTGGTAGGATATCATCAAATGGGGCTTGTTGCTTTTTCAAACTCATACCAAACTCCATTCTTGGCAGTTTTACAGCTTCTCTGACAAGGTAGTTAAATTTGAGTTCCAAAGGGTTTGTCAACTCAAATCCAGAAGTTCATATTACTTTCTGAAACCTCTTTGTGGTCCAAATTCATACTTAAATGTGCATTGTGTAACTTTTCAGGTAGAGGGTATTCTAATGCTTTTCTTTGTCTGGAATGTTTCACAGTATGGTATTAAACTTCCTATGTTCATGGAGCTATAAAACAAACGTAATAAATGTAAAGTTGAGTTGTTTAATGTGTGTTCACGTTCCAGGTAGAGCAATCACATATCCATAGAAACAAGCAGGTGATCGAACCCTAACCAAAAAGTTACATAGTGCACTTTTAACATTTTTACATGCCTCTATTCTTGTGAATTAATATATGTTTTCACCATAAAAGATGCACATTAAATAATCATATCAGAAGACCTAATGAGCCTAATCAGAGGAAAGATCATAATTGTAAAGCAGCACTTTTTGCCAAAGCTTTACTAAAATGAATGATATGTATCAAAGTTTGTGAAAGCTAGAATCTTTGAAATATTATATTACATATGTCCTTCATTGACAGTTAATTTATTCTGTCTGATTATGTTATTTTATCCACCTGTCAGAACAAAAATCATACCTTTTTATTTTAAATGAAAGTAGCCAGTCCACACTTGAGTTATTTTTTAAGTTCCCTTCAGCAAAGAGGTATTGATGTTTCAGGCATTATGTTTTCAAGGCCAAAACTATATTGGGCAAACTCT